AAAAAAAAAAAAAAAAAAGAAAGGAAAAGCAAACTTCATTGTGTAGTAGACCTTTGAAGGGAACACCCAGGGTGTGGTCTGTAAACTAAAATACAGTGTTTCTATACCGTGGACATAATTATAGCTCATCTGGCTGAAGCTCATTACATGCCTGTCCTAAATCAGAGAACCCAACTAGGAGCAGAGAAACGCTGTTCTTTTGGGGGCACTTCAGTGGGTTGGATTTGGGGCAATCCAGTGGCTAGCACAGATTCAAAGGAGCCAGTCAGGTGTTGTGGTGGGGAAAAAAAAAAAAGTCTTTTGCTCACCACAGTAGTCTGTCTGCTTGTCAGGAGATCAAAGGTAAAGAATTGACCATTTTCACACCTGGTAACAGCTACGTGGATGTGGCCAAGGGCTGCCCACCATGGGGCAGAAGGGACAACTCAAGCCACTGGCCATCTCCCAGCATGGGGAACCTTGTGTTCATAAAACTCTTTGATGTCCACAGGCACTGACCCCTGGCAGCAAAAGGGGCCTCAACTGCCTTGCGCTTGCTGGCTTTTGGTCAGCAGGATGGGGAGTGCAGCAAGAAAGACCTTTAAATGTCAGACTGCACCTGTGCCCCTGGCAGTGTTTGCCTTGTCTTTATCACCATGGAAACCCATGGACACAGCACAAAGCCTACCTGGTGCCATTTCGAGACCCTCTGATTCTCCAAGGGAGATCAGCCACGAATGATTCTTGCCACTGCAGAGAGGATGAGGCAGAGGTCATTCTAGAATAGGCTGGGGTCCGTGGCAATGCGAGGTGGAGGGCCCTGGAGGGCCCCAGAGGACCATGGGCACCACCGTGGGCAGACACTGGGGACCACCACGTCTCGAGCAGGCTGCCTCCATCAACCTAGCGGCAAGGCCAGTCTGTGAGCAGAACAGTGAATTTTCCAGAGAAATACAGTCTTCTGCACAGTGGCAGACAAGACAGGCCCATAACGAAAGGACTGGACACTTGTGCAGAGAAGAGTGATGAACACACTGTGGTTGCTGGACTGAGTCACAAAATACACCAAGTGCCTACCACAGTTGACACCTTCTATTTAAAAAAAAGAAATCTTTTCAAGTATACTGAGAAGAGCTGGGGTGCTATGTAATTTGGGAGCCGAGTCCACACCGTGGTGATCTGCAGAGGGTCTGGAACACCCTCTGAAAACATTTGGAAACCCACGTTCGGTCTGAAATCTGCCCGTTAAAAACTCGTCACGTCTTATCTGACTTCGAACAGCCACATCCCCTCCTACCATAGGCTGAGTACAATATCGAAAACAAAGAGGAGTGCAAAAAAGTGATCGATACAAAAAAAGTAAACATCTCAGTTTTAATTGTCAAGATTATTCCAGGGCAAGAGTTCGTTTCCAATGACTTCTCTCCGGTTCTTGTTCCTACGCGGCCCAGCCAAGATCGGTCCAGTTTACTCTCCAATTTGTGCTGGATCTCTTGTGCCCTCCCAATCGGGCCGACGCAGAGGAAGGAAACCCTGCTGGATTCACAGCAGCAAGTCGTCGTGAAGTCCACCAGACTAGTCAGTCTCGGCCGGCGGGCACCGGACAGACCATCTCCCCTGGAGTCCCAAGGTGCAGGAGAGACGCGCATTTCTGACCGTGTACAGACCTCGCTTCGTTCCAGTGTTAACTCCCCCAGGCTTCGGCCGTGAGCGCCTCTGAGGTCATAAGGCCACCCGGATGCAGTGGTGCTTGAGTTTGCAAGGCAGAACTCCTTTGTTCAGCTGGTAAAAGTCAACCAGCTGAATCAGGTCAGAGAATTTGGTGTTCCCGTCATCCAGGCTGAAGAAGGTCTGCCCGTCGTCCTCGCACTGGGGAGACACAAGAACACGGGCCGTGTTACAGGCCACAACGCCAGGGGGCAAGACGGTGCCATTTCAGCTATAGCTACGAGCTAGAAACCCTGGAAGGTTTCTCACCTGTGAGCTTGAAAATGTCTGTGAGCTTGATAATTAGCCATCAATAGACTTGTTAGTTTATAACTGGAAAATTGCATTAAGAAAGAAATCAGAAAAAAGACGCAAAGATCAGAATCAAAACATCAACACTTACAGGTAAGATCTGGAAATTTTTTATCTTCTGGTGATGACACAGTGTGAGTACAAATGCCTTTGGATTGCTCTGGCTGTCACGGAGGAGGAAAAGCCTGCAGAAGGGAAAACAATCAATTGGTCGTTAGCAATTTTTTTTTTTTGAAAGGTTTTTGCTATAGGGCGCGTGCGCTTGCCAGACAGACAGAGAGAGACATAGAGACAGAACGTGAGAAATCACCCCCCAGAGTGGATGGTCGTGCCGCAATCCCTTCTCCTCCATTCTCCTCTTGGGATCTTGGGCACGCACGCACACGTGCCTGGCGTGAGTTTTAAGCCACCAGGTCCAGGATGTGAACCGCGGTCAACTACGTGGGAGTCCAGTGACATAGCCATTATGCTAACTGCTGGTTCCGGTTGTTAGCAATTTTTAAAATCCAGAATCAACACTCACACATATACTTCTCAGCCCTCCCCCTCCCCGACAGGATGGACTCAGAGCCATGAAACTTCAGTGCTCTGGCATCCGAGTGGCCTTTGTTGGCAACCACACACCTGGCACCCAGACAATAATTTCACAATGTCATTCTCTAATCAAAGGAACTAGGGTTTCTTGGGGATTGGGCAGACTCAGGGCTACCATGGTACATGATAAGATGATGCTGTAGTACCTTCTGTCAAAAAGTCACGAACATTCTTGGGAACCAGCAGTTAGCGTAATGGCTATGTTGCTGGACCCACGTCGTCGACTGCGGTTCGAGTCCCGGACCCGGTGGCTTAAAACTCACGCCGGGCGTGTGTGCGTGCGTGCCCAAGATCCCGAGAGGAGAAATCACCCTGTCTCTATGTCTCTGTCTGGCGAGTGCACGTGCCCTATAGCGAAAACCTCTCCAAAAAAGAAAAAAAAAAGTCACGAACATTCTTGTGCTCAAAGAATGATGGAGAACTGTCAAAACGACCCAGGAGGCAGGCTGGCTAAATCTGAGCATGACAGTGAACAGCAGAAGTGATGACTACACCTCATAAAATAAAACCAGAGTGTGTGAGGCCACGAAGGCATTATGTATAACGTGAGCAATAAGTTACTAGGACAGAAGGAAGTGCTCTTCAGTAGAGAAGAACGTCAGCTAGTCATGGAAGACGAGCATTTGGGAGCCAGCTGGTGGGGCAGTGGTAGCACCAGGCTCTGTGAGGCTGGACCCCCAGGGGAAGGTTCTGGGTTCACATCCTGAGGTCTCCCTGTGCATGCTGTAAAGACCTTACTGAGGATGACCGTCTCTGTGTCTCTTAAAGAATAAATAAAATTTCAGAAAAGGAGGAAGAAAACCACCATCTAGCAATTGCCATAGCAGCAACTGATTAAGGAGATCTTTGGTGGATGTTAAAACCAGTAGACAAAGTTTGAGGAAAATATTTTTATAATCTCAAAATATCTTATCTGGGGTACTTTTTCTTTTTTTTTTTTTTTTTTTTTTTTTACAGGGAATAAAAGTAATTTTCTAGTACAGAAATCTGGAAGAGACTATTTTTTTTTTTTTTTGGAGAGATTTTTGCTGTAGGGCGCGTGCGCTCGCCAGACAGACAGAGAGTGACCGCAATCCCTTCTCCTCTATTCTCCTCTCAGGATCTTGGGCGCGCACGCACACCCGCCCGGCGTGAGTTTAAGCCACCGGGTCCGGGATGTGAACCGCAGTCGACTACGTGGGAGTCCAGCGACATAGCCATTACGCAAACTGCTGGTCCCATGGGAGAGATTATCTTCGTCATTGAATAGCCACCACAGGAGAGAGGCCCATGGCCCTCCTGCTAGGGAGTGCTGAGGATGACATGATGTCACTTTTCTGGGCTCATCTAGGGAAAAATGCCTAACAGAATCGAACTGTCAGTAAACAGCCTAGCCCAAACTGAGGCACCTTCTCTAAGAACTGGCTTCTCCTCATAGCAAGTATTAGGATTAGAATTAAGAATTTCTAAGTATTTTTGCTATAAGGTTCATGTGCTCCCCAGAGAGATGGAAAGTGAGAAATCACCCCCACAGGGAGAAACCCACACTGTAGTCCCTTCTCCTTTCTCCTCTCAGGATTTTGGGGAAACACACACACATGCACCCAGCGCGATTTTCAAGCTGCAGGTTTGGGATTTGAACTGCATGGTCAGCCATGTCAGATCCAATACCTTTACCTCTATACTACCTGCTGGCCTCTAAGAATCTGTTTCTTCTGCTAAAAGAACACAATTAAAACTACTGGTGCAAGTGTGCAGAGCAGCCAACAGCAGACCTGCATTGATATTAATGTCCTGATTTTTATAACAGTATTGTGGTCAATGTAAAAGAAGTCCTTATTTTCAGACATTTTACATTGAAATAATTAGGACTTAAGAGGCATCGCACTACAATTTACTGTCAAATGGCTCAGCAAAAATAGAGAAATAAAAGATAGAGCAAATGTGTTGTAATGTTAACAACTAGGGTGTTTGGGCAGAATGTACACATGGGGTTTGTTATTTGATACTTGTAACTATTCCACATCCTTGAAAATATTTAAAAATAAATATGTAAAAGAAATTAGAATAGCATGAAGAAGTACAAAATCATTGCTTTGATGTAAACAAAACTGGGTTGGATAATAAAACCAACAATCACTTGCTACTGGAAAGGAAGAGATGAGCCAGCAGGTGTCATGGTGGTTAAGGTGCCGGATCCCACATGGCTGACTGTGTCATCTGAGTTCTGGACCTGGCGGTTTGAAAAACACACAGGCACTTGGGCGTGTGTGCTAAAAATTCCAAGAAGAGAATGGAAGAGGAGGGACTGTGGTATGGCCAAGCCCCCTGGGATTGTGTTCTCATTTTCCCTCTTTCTCTCTCTCTCTGTCTCCTGTAAATGCATGTACCTTGTAGACAAGCTAAAAAAAAAAAAAAAAAAGGAAGAGAAAAGGGTCTCAAAGCCCTTGTCCAAGTTACAAAGAATGAATGGCCCGAGGAGAACATGTTTTAAAGATATTAGAAGCCAAACTATAAAAATTGCCGTTTTCCAGATGGTAAGGTTAAACTGGAAAGTAGTTAAGCAAGAATGAAAAATGCTGTACCCAAAGGTCAAGCAGGCTCAGCTGTTCTGGTGCAGGCAGGAGAGCGGGGGCTGCCGGGCACTGGGGCCACGGAGGCAGCCCAGGCGTGGATTCCAGGTCTATCTGAGCACACGGCTCCAGGTGCGCCTGGGATCCAGGCTGGCTGGAAGGCTGGTGTGTGCATGTGTGAGTAAGGGAGGTGCAGGGTGATTATAGCATGATGAGACGTGCTGAGGATGCCTTTCTCTCGTGAGAAAAGAAAGAAAAGTCAAAGAAAGAAAGATGAAATGGATTTATTTTACTATGCGACTTTTTCAGAGCCGTTAAAATGCAATATTCATTATGCACTTCCATTTGGGATGTCCCAGAAACTTTAAAATGAGAATACTCATCATGGCTGTCTAAGGCGCACCAGTGTTAAAGAGCTTTCCAATTTTTTTTGTTTTTTTTTTTTTTTTAGAATTTTGCCATAGGGTAAATGTGCTCACCAGAGACAGAGTGAAAGGGTAGGTGAGAAATCACTCCCCAGGGGGGATGGCCACATTGCAATCCCTTCTCCTCCTTTAGTCTCTTAGTTTGGGCATGCACACACATGTACCCAGCATGTTTTTCAAGTCACAAGGTCTGGACTCGAACTGTGGAGCTGGCCGTATGGAATCAGTGCCTTAACTACCACATCTCTTGCCAGACCAGAGTTTTCCAGTCTTTCCTGACTGTACAACCAACTACCCCCCCACCCATCACACACACCTTTCTTTCATTAATGGCCAGGGAGTACATAAAGGTGCCAGAGAAAGAGAAACATGCCCCTCTCCCACGCCCCCACCATGGGGCACGGGCATGCCACAATTCCCTTTCCTCCATTTCTCCATTGTGCTAGGACGTCAGGCACACACGCGTTCTTGTCCGGTGTGTTTTGCAGGCTGCTGGGGCTGGGCTTCCATCTGTGGTCAGCTATGTGGATTCAGTTCCCTATGCACAGCACTCAATCAGTGTATTACGGGCTGGCCCCAGCCCACTTTTACAGTATTCTGCAGGACTCCTGTTCTCAGAATTCACTCTGGGAAACACTGACCAGGAGGGATCCTAGTGTGGGTCACTCAGGCTGTAGGGGACAGTGCTAAGATCGATGTGCCCAGGTGTGGAACATGCTCCAGGGCAGAGAGAACCAGACCAGTTCCTCCCCAGGCAGCAGGGCATGCCAGGCCCCTCTGTCCACTTCCCAAATACGGTTTCTTTTCTCAGAGTCACTTCGAATAGAATACCCCCACTCCCTGAAACCCAGGAGGCTGTATGCCTCAGGCTCTGGCTGGAGGCAGAGCTAGAGCTGCCCCCACTCATCTGCTACCTGGGCCACCTACTGCTTTCTGCAGCCAGGAAGCTACAGTGAACGCCAACAGGGCCAGGGCCTGCTCATCCCTGACACAGCGGGCTCAATCTGAAAAACCCTGACAGCCCCCACTCCCGCCCCAGGTGTGCGTTTCACAGGTGATGTCTGGAAGCTGTCAGCGCCGGAGGATCACTAGCACATAGGAGAGAAGGAGCGAGAGGTGACAAGGGCAGGGGACAGAACTCAGCAGGCACCTCGGATTGCACTGAGCAGCCTCAGGATCCCTGGCAAATGCCTCCTCGGCTGCAGGTTCCTCTGTAAAAGGAGACCGACATCTGTCCTGCGGGGCTGTTGGAAGGCTGTGGTGGATGCACGCAAGAGCTGTGCCCTAATGCCTGCAATGTATGGTGGCCTGAGGTGACTGGACTCCCACGTAGTCGACCACGGTTTGAGTTCCAGACCCAGTGGCTTGAAACTCATGCTGGGTGTGTGTGTGTACACCCAAGATCCTGAGAGGAGAATGGGGGAGAAGGGATTGTGGTGTGGCCATCCCTGCTGGGGAGAGATTTCTTGCTTTCTATCTCTCTGTCTCGCTCACTCTCTCTCTCTCCAACAAGCACACGCACCCTATAGCAAAAATCTCTTTTAAAGAGAAAAAATAAGAAAGAAAGAAATTGCCAGGTCTCTGCAGCTTGCTGCTGATACAACTGTCTGATGT